AATTTTCACATTTTGTCAGGTAATAAAATCCAAATTAATAGCTTTTCTTGTAAAGCACCAGCACAGAACTGTGCATATTTTGAAGCTAAAGATTTGTATTATTTGACAATTAAAGTTGGAAATGTGTGAGCTGCATTTGTGTTTAACCTGCTGAGTTTTTCCCCAGTCATGTTTTGCAAAATAGCTTAAAGTAGACAGACAGTATCTTACAGGTCTTGCCACAAACTATCAACTGGATTTAGGTCTGGACTTTGACTGGGCCACTCCAACATGTGGATATGCTGTGATCTAAACCACTAAGATGTTTTAGGTTTCTTTCAGCTTCTAACAAGGTTTTCTTCCTGATTGCCCCGTTTTTAGCTCCATACATTTGCTCATGAACACCGGCCATCTTTTATTTTCCTGCTCAAAAGCACCCAGAGCGTAGTGCAAAGACTGTTGAGCAATTTCCTAGTTAACAGTTTCAGAAAATGCAAACCAGCACATTCACACACTGAAAATGCCTGATTTTAACACAAAAAAAAAAGTTGTATCCCTGATCCTGTGAGACAAACATGCATCTCATTTTGGACTTAGAACTCTAAACTTCCTCTATGACATATATCCAGTATTTTCCTCATAGAGGAACAGAAGCCCTATGAGTAGAAGAAGACGTCTGTCAAAGCTTCAGACTTTGACAAGTACATGTGCCACCAGTGATGGACTTTCAGATCATTTGGGAAATGCAAGATTTTTTGGAAATTATAAACTAAGTAAATGGATTCAAATCACATTTACACCATCACACGCAAGCAAAGCTCACATTAGCTGGAAAAATATCTTTGTTAATGATCACAAACCGTTAAAAACCCACAGGAAGCAAAGCGTGGTACCATGGTGCTCACTGCAAACATGAATGAATCCACTCACAAGCTGTAATAAAAATACTTATGACAAAATGTATGGATAAAAATACTGGTCAAAACTCATGCAAATCCAGCTTTATAGAGCAGAGAAATTAATTCTTGACCAAAAAAAATAAATAAAAAATCTTTGCATCTGCTGAAAACATTTCCGCTTCCAATTTAATTTTTTGATGTGAAGATCTGATAAACACCAAACAGAAATTTGCGTGTAAAGTATTCAGACTCTCGACCCTTGTTGCACGCAGAGAAAGATTGTTGCACCGCATTCAGTCCCCAAAAGCGACGTGGCAAGATGAAAAAGTAAGTGCTTAAAGTCATTTTTGTTTTTAAAATAATTGTATCAACAAACAAGCTGCAGCAAAACTATTTTTAGACTGGGTAGATTGGTTTGCTAATACACTCACACATCTCGCACACCTGCATCCTGCATTAGTCAGAAGCATGAAAATGCACTTGTAATATCAGAGACCTGCAGAAATAGAGGATGGTTTATGCATGCAGAGTGCTGCCTACTATAGTACCTTGAAAAGTATTTGACTTTTTTACCCCCCATTTTGTCATGCCACAGCAACAAACTTGTAAAACTGCGTTTCGGTACACCGCCGCCCCCACCGCCTTGTTGAACCACCGTTTGCTGCAGTTGCAGCTGCAGATCTTTGGGGTATGTCTTTACCACCTTTGCAAGTCTTGAAACTGAAATCTTTGCCCTCTCTTTATCGTAAAGTAGCTCAAGCTTAATCACATTGGACAGCGAATGTGCCCACAGCATGATGCTGCCATAACCGTGTTTCACATGGGCATGCTTGGTCCAGGGAGATGTGCAGTGTTAGTTTTCCTCCACCATGTGGCGTTTTGTCCATGAGATAAAAGGATTAATTTTGGTCTCGTCTGAGCAGAGCACCTTCTTTTGCTTATAAATAACATTTTTGCCACTTTTCCATAAATAATAGAACTGCTGAGTGCCTGACTAATCATTGTCCTACCAACACAGCTATGGATCTCTGCAAAAAATTTCTATCTAAGAATAGAGATCCAAATTCAGGATCTTTCTGGTCAATACCAATGTCCAGTTTTCTTTCAGGTCTGACCAACTGATTTTAATTTTATTTTCTGAGGTCTGTAACTCATAAGAGGCACAAAATGTGCTGCAGGTTCCTTAATAGAGGTTGCTTAGTAAACTAAAGAAAACGAACTAATTAGAAGATTGTAATTTGACATTTGTTGGGTGGGTGTTTCCAAGACGTTATATCTGTGATCAAGTTCTGAAGAAATGTACAAACCTCCATGATTAATTCAGCCTTAAATTTTAATACTAACAAACAAAAACACTCAAGAGACAGAGGCGTGACTAAGATCTTTATTCTTGTTTTTTGTTTTCTTTCATTCTTCTTGTTAAAGTTGACGATGAAAAGATTAATAATTAGAATTTTTAGTGAAGTTATTACTTTAACCTTTTTGAAATTAGATCGTTTATCATAAAAGGAATTCGTCTGCATAGCGCAGACAATTTCAGAGGCTTCCTAGAACTGTGACAGGCACTCTAAGAAACTTCCTGTTTTCTGGCCTGGGGTTTCCGATGTGGCCTTTTGCACACTGACCAGGTTCTTACACCTTGAAATTAAAAATTTTCCATTTCTTTATCAGCCTGAATTAGCCGAGCTCTGGTTTAGCCTGCCTCTAATCAAATACATTCAGCAGCCAATGAAGTTCATAATATTAGTAAATTTTTTTCCAGTACACCTCCTAAATAATAGGTGTTAGTTTATTAATTTTCCATGTAAATGGAAATAAGTCTTCACCTAAAGTAGACAAAACTTTTAAAGAACTGTAAACCATCTACACATGAAAGAAACAGCATCCTTGATGTTGAATTATACATATCATGGTTGTAATTTGAGCCAACATTTTTTTTTTGCTGTTATATGATTTTCTGCAAACAGAAGCAGGAAGTCCTAAATATGATGGAAATCAATTCTAAATTACATTGTTTGATATGTTTAACCTAAAGAAATACCAATAAAAAGAAAGACACCAATTTTAGCACAAAAGAGAAAGTCTAAAATATATGCTAAAACATAAACATGCATTCAAAGAGTGATATGTGCTTTGCTGTTTGGCAAAGACGCAAATGGGCAAAGTTTCAGTTTTAAGACGTGCAAAACTGCTAGAGAGCCCCCCCCCCACCCCCCAAGACTTGCAGCTGCAGCCGAAGTTCTCAAGCAGCCGACATTTTGATTATGATCTCCAAAGAACCCTTTCAAGAAAGCTGATTGTTTATGTTCTTAACTTGGTGATTTATCTTGGAAATCCTATGCTGCTGTGCTTAGTTGGATGTCTTTTAGTGCGACGGTGGTGGGTAGAGTAGGCAAAAATTTTACTCAAGTAAGAGTAGCACTACTTCAGTATATTGTTGTTCAAGTAAAAGTAGCCATCCAAGAAATTACTCAAGAGTAAAGAGTATTTGAAGGCGATGCAAGTTCTGAGTAACTGATCTGAACATTAATCACTTAAAATTTAAATATCACATCATCAAATACCAACATATAAGGTTATGTGGAAATTTTGGCACAAAATAAAAATTATTTATTTTGAAAAATTGCAAAACAGTAAAATCTGGCAAATGAAACATTTTTCACAAATATATTTATTTCAATATAAAATTTATGAAAATGTAATTAAAGCTGCAGGTCTGTGTGGTGAATTTGTGTTTCTCACAGAGTATTCAGAAATTTTGCTCAAGTAAGAGTAGTGATAATTCACAATAAAATTACTCAAGTAAAAATAGAAAGTACAGCTCAGTAAAACTACTCCTAAAAGTTTTTTTTTTTTTCCAAGAAGTTATTCTAATAAATGAGTAAATGCAACTACTTGCTACCAAACTATGTAATTAAAATATAAAAAATGAATTAGTAGGACTCCTAGTCTGATATTTATTCAACTAACAAATGTGAACAGACAAGAAAAACATAACAGAGTAATGCAAATTTGTAAAAAAAAAAAAAAAAAAAAAAAAAAAAAAAAATTGCAAAATTTCTAAAGTAAATTCAATCAGCAAGAAATAAGCTGGCATTAGTAAACTTTACAGTGGACAATGGACTTTTTGGTAAAATGACAGATCTGTAAGAAGTTGCTCCTCCAACAGAAGAAGTTACTACATCGAAGCAAGTAGTAACTAACCCCTGGTCAAATGGAGGAAATATGCATAGCTGAGATAGTAAAACAGATCATATGGGTGCTTTGCCAAGTCACAATCATCATAATACTTCACCAAATTTTAGGTTTAATATTTAGGGTTGGCCACTATATTGGTAAAGTACATTAGTTGTCAGTTACTATCTACATATTACAGTCTTTAAATAATATTGCAGTCTGTTTTGTTCACATGTAAATAGGAAACTTAGGAAAATATGATGAACTTGAGAGAAAAAAAGTTTGCAGTGAAAGAGGGGAACAGTAAGCGTCAACCAAAAGAAAACACAAGACCCTTTATTTATCTGAATTATGTAGAACACAAACCCACAGGTGGAAATTTCGGTATCCTTTCTTTTGCAGTCTTACAAAGAGTGGGCTGATGCGGTTTGATCTACAGACCATATGTTTACATTGTGTTTTAATGTGGGTGGTTCAGTTGAGCAGACCATGGTGAATATCTTAGTGAGGCATTGTCTTTGAAACATTTGTTCCATTTGGCTCCTTTGTTTTCTTTTGAACCATTATGCGAAGGTTTCTGCAGACCCCTAATGATAGATTGATTATCATGAGTACTTATGTCACAACTTGTCCTTAATGCACAACATACAAATAGAATTTAGTAGTTTACTAAGTTGGAGTTTGTTTGAATTTGTCAGATTTCTTTCTTTGATGCTTTACTTTATTTATTATGTTAACGTTTTGCCCACAAAAAGGAAACAAAATATATCTGGATTAAACTTGCATTTTTATTCACCTTGTTTTAACCAGGCAGGCAACTTACCGACCTTATTTTGGTTATCAAATCTATCACCCATTTCAAATAGCTCCCTCTACTGGCAGTAAACTAAATTTTAAAAAAAAATGCGCATGGATTTTTTTTGTATTGTATTGCGCCGTTTACACGACAGTACGGTAGAGCTGCGTTGCATTGTGGGACATACAGTAAAGATGGATGCGGGCGTAGAGAGCATGTTGAAGCGACGATAACATATAGTTTTGTCATTATATCTTCGACAATAAGTACTTCCTGCTGTTGCATCGTGATAATCATCTGATGCGGGACTGCTGTTGAGTACGGAAACAGGTACAAGTCTCAACGTCGACCCTTACGCAACGTGTTAGCTGAAGCTAATGCTAAAGCTAAGGGTCAATGTAGACAAACGAAGAGGCTAAGAAAGCTCAATGTGACGACAGACCGTCGCTAGGTTTATCCTCTGATTAAGTTTTAATCTAACCGTATGATTTATCTTTGTCAGAAGACTGAAGATGTTTGCGCTCGGAGGTTTGTTGAGAGTTGGATCGACCTTCTTTCACTCTGCGGGAAATCTGCTGCTCCCAATCAGGACCATCTCTACAGGTCAGGACGGCTCCAGTAAACCCACTGTGTCCATTACCAGTTTTATTTTAGAGCCTGTGCCGCTGCCTACAAATGTATTAAATGCATTCGGTCATAAACTAAATCTTAAGATTAGAATGTGAAGGTACAATCATGACTAACCATTAGTTTTTCAGTAGCACTATCTTGTGTTTTATTATCTTTGTTTGTTAAATAAACATGTTTAATGTAACATGTTTATTTAACAAATAATATGCAAGCATTTATTTATGCTTGCATAATTAACCTTGGAATCATTAAGGATATAAATGCAATAGGAATCTGTTATTCTACCAGTTTTTGCTGCTGTAAACGTAATGCTTATGGGAAACTCGGTGCTGAATGCAGTAATCTGTTCTTCAGGGTCTTGCTGCCAGATCAGGATGCATGCTATCCCTCAGCCTAAACAAGTGGACAGGTGGAACGAGAAGAGGAGCATGTTTGGAGTCTATGACAACATCGGTATCTTAGGTAAGGGATTAGTATAATCTAAATATAGATTTTCTTTTCACCATAGATGGATTGTTTTACTTAGCTTGTATGTGAGCAAGATCATCTCCATCAAAATAAAATCTGAATCTCAGAAGATGATTTTTTTTTTCAATAAAAAACATCAGTAACACTTTATTTGAAGGGATGTGCATAAGACTGACATGATATTGTAATAAACATGACATCTGACATGAACATGAAGGAGTCTTCATGAATGTCTGACTGTTGTCATGAAGTGTTATTCTGTAAATAATGACACTTTTAATACAAAGTTGATACTTTAACTTGACTTTTTATGCAAGTTTTAATGTAACCTTACTAGGGCTGAAACGATTCCTCGAATGATTCGAGTACCTCGATTACTAAAATTCCTCGAGGAA